CAATATTTGTCACAACAAAAAGACCATCAGCTATGGTGGCTGTGTGGCCCAACTCATCATCTTCCTGGCCCTGGGTGCTACTGAGTGTCTCCTGCTGGCTGTTATGGCCTTTGACAGGTACGTGGCGATTTGCAGACCACTCCACTATATAGTCATCATGAATCCTAAGTTGTGCTTAAAAATGGTAGCCTTCTCATGGCTCACTGGCTTCAGCAACTCAGTGTTGCAGTCTTCCTTGACCCTTAACATGCCACGCTGTGGGCATCAGGAAGTGGACCACTTTTTCTGTGAGGTTCCTGCTCTTCTCAAGTTGTTATGTACTGACACAAAGCCTATTGAGGCTGAGTTCTTTTTCTTAGGAGTATTAATTCTGCTAATTCCAGTGACATTGATCCTCATCTCCTATGGCTTCATAGCTCAAGCAGTATTGAGAATCAGGTCAGCAGAAGGACGACGAAAAGCTTTTGGGACATGTGGGTCCCACGTGGTTGTGGTGTCTCTCTTTTTTGGAACAGGCATCTACATATATCTACAACCACCTGCATCCACATCTAAGGACTGGGGAAAGATGGTTTCCCTCTTCTATGGGATATTCACACCTATGTTGAACCCTCTCATTTACAGCCTTAGAAATAAAGATATGAAGGACGCCTTCAAAAGGGTGTTGCCAATAATCCTTTTCTATAAGAAATAAGTGCTCCATTGTCATGAGAAACTTCTGTGTCTCTCTTTATCCTTGAAAATTATAGTAAGGTTTGAACTGCTTTTTCTATTGCTCAGGCTCTTATGATTTTATTGAATTGCACCAAGAGTTTAGAAAAATTACTTCTCTGTTCAGGAAGCAATGCTAAGATTGTAACATTTCTTTTCTGAATTCAAAACTTTTGCTTTCCAGAGTTCCCCTAAGGCGCTCTCTTCCTGAGGCCAAGTCATGGGAATTTCCTCCTGTCAATAACTAGTCAGGACATGAATGGATTACATTTCCCCTTATATATTCTTTGCTCAAGAACCATCCTGCCAACCACCTAGTTAGGGTTTCCACATGTCTGTAATTATATATCCAGTGAGCCCAAGCAAAAAATATTCCTGACAGCACCCATGTCCTCAGCACGTTACATTTACTTTCACATCCCTTGATAAAATCCATCCTATGAACCTTCCAGAACTGTTCTAAGTATGTAATCTGTCTCAAACCTAGCTGGCATTTAACTAGCTAAGTGTGTGAGCCTTATACAAGAAATGAAATATCAATTGAGTTTCATTCCTATTTTATTTATTTTTCAATTTTTTTATAAAGTATAGTCAACTTACAATGTCGTTAGTCTTTATTGTACAGAATAGTAGTTCAGTTATATATATATTCCGTCTCATATTCTTTTTCATTATAGACAATTACAAGGTATTGAATGTAGTTCCTTGTGCTATACAATAGGACCTTGTTGTTTATCTATTTTATACAGTAGCATGTATCTGCAAATTTGAACTCCAAATTTATTCCTCCCACCCCCTTTCTACCCTGGTAACTATATTTTTTTTTCCTATGTCTGCAACTCTATTTCTGTTTTGTAAATGAGTTCATTTGTGTCTTTTTTTTTTAGATTCCACATATCAGTGATATCCTGTGATATTTTTCTTTCTCTTTGTGGCTTACTTCACTTAGAATGATTATCTCCAGGTCCATCCATGTTGCTGCAAATGGCACTATTTCATTTACAACTATTTTAAATTCATTTTTTATTCCCCATGAATAGCATTTCTTCTTTTTTTCCCTTTACTTCTCAAATCCTTATTTGTCCCAAGTTCTACCCCAAGTATGCAGGAACTCCTCTAAATTAGAAATTTCATTATTTACAGAAATGTTAATAGGAATCATTTTTTCTAATATTGATCTGAAATAATTCATTATTTGATTAGTAATTCAGTAAAGTTTTATTCACTAAATAGCACTAGACCAGAGGAAAAGCAATCACAGTTCCTCTACTGAAGATATATTCTAGTTCCTGAAGAAAGGGACCCTTAAACTGACATTTTAATTGATTGTTTGCAATTACTAATGTAAGGAAATACATGGGGCAACAGAGAAAGTGTTACAAAACTAAGGTTTCAGATATTATAAGTGAAGAATGGCATGAGAAAGTGCCCCAGTTAACATTCAGTGGACTTGGAACATGAACAAAACCTAAATCTTTGTTGGTTTTAGCCACTATGATTTTGAAGTTATTTATTAACACAGTAATTAAACATTTCTTTTAAAAATAATATTATTATTTACTTAGTATGGTTTAAGTCAGCAAATAAGTCTATATTAAGAATGTAACCCTAATTTTTTATTTACCTGTATGTATAAGAAAGTACTAGAAATAAATTCACCAAAAGTTAATTATGATGAGATAAGTGGTAGGATACTAAAAAAATTTTTGCTCTGGTCTTCTGCATTTTAAAACGACACCAATTACTTAACTATCAGGAAAAAGTCTAAATATAAAACTGGTGCTCTAAATCTATTTCACCTTGAAGAGTTTTCCATTGAACTGTATTTGGTTTCTAATAGTATAATGGAATAATAATAACTTAAAGTTGAAGTTGATTTAAAATGAAAAATTATTGATAGTAAAATAACTATTAGACTAATGTAATTATAAATTTGTAACTAATTTTAGAAACATCTACTCCAATCTTCAAGTATACTACCAAATATTTCCCAAAGTCTGCCTAGAAAATAATTTTCTAAATATTTATGTTATATGTCATTAATAATTTAAATAACAAACATAAGTTTATTCTACAATATTTTGATACTGCTCATATCTACAGTAATAACATGGGATTGGACGAAGGTAGTCAAAAGTTACTTCCAGTTACAAGATAAATAAATACTGGGGATGTTATATGCAACATGACTATAAAAGTCAACATTGCTGTATGTTATATTCAACAGTTGAGAGAGTAGATCCTAAGAGCTCTCATCAAAAGGAAAAAAAACCATTTTTTTCTTCTATTTAGTATCTACATGAAATGATGGACGTTAACTAAAATTATTGTAGTAATCATTGTTTTCCAAACAACATATTACTAACTACTTCAATGTGTAGTTACTAAAAATAGGACATTATCTTACATTGCCAGTACAGTTATCAAAACTGGGACGTTTTACAGTGATGTAATGCTCATACACAAGTCATATTCAGATCTTGTCAATTATCTCCAAAATGTCCTTTATATTTTTCTCATGCACAATACATCATTATAAAAAGGCACTCGAGGCCGTTTTGTCTGCAAACTGATGGTGTTAACTTCAGTCACTGGTTAAGATGGTGTCTCCCAGGTCTCCCCTATGAGAAGTTACATTTCTTCTCCTTAGAAATTAACACGTAATTTGTAAAAAGATAGCCTGAAATTATGTAAATATCTTAATCCTGGTCAAATTTTCACCCACTAATATTAGCATCTATTAATGATTCTCTAACTCCATCTTGCCTTCTGTATTTACCAGCTGACTTTCTGTAATAAGAAAGCCATTCGCCTCCTTTGTTTATTCCCTTATTTGCTTGTATCACTATGTACTTATAAATTCCTATTTTATATTATTATTTTACTTTATTTTGATGCCCAAATTGTTCAATATTTGGCCAAAATAAGTCCTTCAAGCTCTATCAATGTCTTTAATTTATACATTGCATAGTCACATTTTAAAAATTTCTTATTTCTACATTTATGCATTACCAATCTAGATATAATATTTTGTTATATTTCAGAGTTACTAATTCTTCATGTACGCCTAATTTCCAGCTTCCTGTCTGCTAAAATTCCTTAGGCTCTTTGCCTAAAAGATCATAGTAATTAATTTATTAATTTCAAGTTTGACCATCTCCCATATTCTTACCTGTGGACTGACACTCTCTGGAGTCATAAAACTCCAGGGGTGGGGAACCTGGGCTCTCTGTGTGCCTGGAGCCTATTGACACCTTAACCCCTACTCCCCACTGCAGGACCCTTTGCATACCTGCATTTCTGCAAGATGTAAAATATCTCCTCTTGATGTGTGTTTGCCCTAACAAAACCCATCGCCCAGCAGAGAGCCCGTCTCACAATACCTTAGGTGGACAGGTCTCACATCCTGCCCTTATCAAAGCTGTAAAACCTATTGTTCAGAGAAGTCCCTGACAGATCTTAGAACCAATCAGGTACCTGTGCACGAATGGATCATGCAGCCCCTATTCCTTGTGTGCACAACCCTCTCCCCCCACCCCCGATAAAAGACCCTGCATCTCCATCCCCAGCACTCAGTACACAGGCATCTCTCCTCTGTGTGGCCCACTGTTGCCTATAGCAGCATCCCTATTAAACTTTCATAAACTCTTCTCAGTCTCTGGTAATTCTTTACCAACCTGCGTGTGCGCACATTACCCAAGATCTTATCTTTCTGTGCTGTAGGGATACTATATTACCAGGGATCTGAGCAATGTATTATAACTTCCAACACAATCTACTCCTTTAACTGCTCAGATCCAATACTTTGTATGAGTTATGGGAGAAGCTCCTACAAGATGCTAGTGGGCTTCTACATGTGGGGGGAGCTTAGAAGAGGACCAACACGGCAGCAGATCTTACCACCATGGCAGCTGGTCTTATGTCCACAAACTAGATTCATCATCTCCCTCTGCTATCTATTCTTTATTCCCCTCCGCCTTAGCTAGAACTTCTACTGGTCTCTGGGGTTAACTCTGTGGCATGATTTAGAAGTGTCTGAGCCCCTGATCATTATACTTTTCTTAAGTCAAGCGCATTGCACTTGATCATTTACTATTACAATTAGACAAAAAGGTATACTTCTTGGTGTGCATTCTGTACTCCTTGGTGGAAGCATTTCCCTTTGGAAACTGGAACCCCTAAACTTACAGAGTCCATAATTGTGGAATAAAGAAACACAGATTTTCAAGTGAGTCATTGGAAATCATGGTAAGCGGGGCCACTGCTGTTTCACTCCTTGGTTTCCAGACCCATGTGTCTTCCAAATGGGGACACAGTTCCATATAAATATAATTAATTTAAAGTATGCACTGGGTGGTAGAAGATGGCACTGCATCTGAGCTGACATTTTGGGTGTGCCTTCAACATGTCACTCCATGACTTTAATAGGTCATTTCATGATAGTGTAATACATTATATGGCCAGTAGTTTCCATGGTCATGTGTTCACTTCCATGCTTCCTTTGCTAGTAAGTGGGCCTTCTGACATAATGGTATGTGGGAGCTCATGCTGCTGAATCAAACACTGTAAAAACCTTTAGATAGTAGTGCTGGCTAAGGACTCGTGGCTAAGACAAACCCATAGCTAGAGTGTATTGTTTCTTCCAATGTTTAATGAAATAAGTCAGAGAAAGGCAAATACTGTATTGTTCACTTACATGTGGAATCTAAAAAATAAAAGTAATATATGAATATAACACAACAGAAAGAGATAAGGGGTATTGAGAACAAACTAGTGGTTACCAGAGCAGGGACAGGAGGAGGGCAAGATTGGGGTAAGGAATTAGGAGGTACAAACTACTTTGCATAAAATAAGCTAAAATGATATATTGTACAGCACAGGGAATATAGTCAATATTTTATAACAACTTTAAATGGAGCATATTCTATAAAAATATTGAATCTCTATGTTGCACACCTGAAACTAATGTAATATTGAATCAACTATACTTCAATAAAACAAAAATTTTAAAAATTAAAGTAATATGTCAGAATACATAAAAGCATAGCTGTCAGGAAATATGCAAGCTGAGAACCTGCAGCTTTGGCTGACTGAGAGATTTAAGACCGTTTTATTTTTAAACCGCAAATCACAAGGGTTTCCTGTTTTCTTAGTCTTTTTTGTTTTGTTTTAATCTTAAGCCATCTTATTTTTAAAATACATGGATTCATTT